CCCCAAAACCCCAAAACCCCAAAACCCCAAAACCCCACATTTTGAAAACTTGATTGAATTAGAAGATAATACAGCAATCTTTCTCATCTCGATGTGACCAACAACAACCTGATCTGGTCTTTGAGTCATTAGCGGGGTTTTGGAAGGAAATCCGCTCGATGTGGCCACTTTGATCATCATCACAGTTATAAATACCCTGGTAAGGGCAAAACCCAAAAGACTTGGTCCAGCTGATACAGCTCTTTAGAGAAGAGCGAGTGCTCTTGATCTGTTGTGATCATGCATGGATCTCTTTATCTAAAACCTGGATCTCATTGTCCATTTCCCTCTTAAGCCTTTGCTCGAGGTTTTCGTATTTTAAGCTAAAATCAATGCTGATGTTCCCGATAGTATCGAGTTTTGTATTTAGATTGATATCTTCAGGTGCTGAATCACCGTTTAGTTGTTGAGAAGATTCTATTTCATTACGGTCGTCTTTTCATTTTTCTCCCCTATAGATAGGTGTTTCAGTTTGGAAACTCTCTCATTCCTCAGAAAGATCTTCTGGGAGAGTGATCGTAGAGAAACCAATGTATTTAGTAGAGGGGTTGAAAGTTTCAATCATAGCTTCTATGCTTTTATGTCCATTTTCTAAATTTTCATTTAACTTTGAATTCTTTGGAGAATCGGTATCTTTTACATCCAAGAAAAGATCTAAATCTGACTGACCAGGAGCAGGGTTTGATGATTCTGAATCTTGAAAGACCCTGTAAATTTGAATTTTAGCATTCTGTAAAATGACAGGTTTGCTTCCAAATTCTTTACAATCAAGTTTGAAATCTTCTGAATCAAGATATCTACTATAAAACTCAAAATCTTTACTGTTTGTTCTCAAATTTGCCCAGAGTGTTTCCATTTGTGTCCTCCAAAACATAAGTAAATCAAATATTCTAAAATCAATAATCATTTTGCGAACCTCAGCTTCCTGACCTCTTTCGTCAATGCCATCTTCGATCCTTATATCGGGTAATCTCATGCCAATACGGGTAATTTTCGGCTTCAAACCTATCAAAATCAATGGTTGAGACTACCTGAAGCCTTTTTGAACATATATTTCTCATCAATAAGTTCTTTCTCATTCTGAAGATTCAGTAACTTAAGCTGGTCAGAGACCAGCTTAAGGCTGAAGCTTAGTAAGGAGGAACAGAAGGTATGACTGAAGGAGGAGATTTTAAATGAGGGAGGGTGAGTTTAGGGAGGAGGAGATTAGTGTTTGGGACAGGATGTCGGATTTTGGGTCTTTGGGTGAGAGGGTGGAAAGTTTTGTTTTTATTTCGTCTGGGCTGATTGGAGTTAGTATTTCAAAAGTAAGGGTGTGTTTAAGAGTGAATATTACCTGATATATCCATTTAATATCTCCTTTGTATCACATTTCGATTTATTAGATTTCAAATTCTCTTCTAAAACACTCAAATTACCAAAAATACCATTCAAATCTTGAACTTTATCCCTCTCTCCTCTCTTTTCTATCCCTAAACCATTACTCCTCTCCAAATTACCTTCTTCCCCTACTCATCCCCCAAGATACTTCTCCAACAAAATCTCTAACTTCTTCATTCCCTCAAAATCAACTGTCCCATCCTCCTTCACCAGTCCTCTCCCCTGCACATCCTTGCCTTGCAAATACTGCTTCCACTGCTCTACATCTGACTCATTCCAGTCAAGCCCCTTGACTTCCCCACCAATTTCCATACTCAATAATTTATACCAACGCAGGGGTTTTGGGGTTTTGGGGTTTTGGGGTTTTGGGG